AGTCGCTGATGATTCTCTTGGCTTTCCTCATGCACCGACTGGTGTAGATGTCCTGGAGCTAGGGAAGCTCACCTCCTACTACACATTCAGCAGTTTGATAAGCTGAGAGTGTGACACTTTGGAGCATGTTGCCTAACCATTCAAAACTTTATTTTTTTCTGTCATTTACTTCTAAAAGTTACAATATTAATGTATGTTATACACAGCATCTTGTTTAATAAAGTGTAATCCAGCAGAAGAGCTCTGTCTAAAGTAAAAATGAAACACAGAAACATTCTCCAAAAATGTAATATTTGATTTGACAATTAATGAAGCTATGTATTAAATATTCTCTCTGCCATGTACCTAATAGAAATGCCTTATACTGACCTTATACTACTTAAAATTTAGTAGATAACACTAACCTTTAAAAAAGCTAAATTTGAAATAGAAATACTGGAGCATAAGGTGAGAACATTTTTGGCAAAATATGTGTTACAGGTTGAAAGGTGAGTATCTGAAGCAATGTAAACAAAAATAAAACAGCCAATTCATATTATTTTAAGAAATATAAAACGAGCAGTGCTTCAGCGCAAACAAATAAATTAAAACTGATTTTTGACAAATCATGCGTCTTAGCACTCTTTCATTTCGTTGACCTGCTTGTTTTATTGAGGATTCCTCTGGGCCATGTTGAATAGTATCTGTGGTCCATGTTCAGGGTAAGGTGTCATCATATAGGGAAAACAAGGGAATCCTCATTTCCCCCAGCAATTAACCATTGCAGTCCTGTAATAATTGAAGTGTATAATACAAAGAATAAAAAAAAGTAATAATAAATAGTAAAAGTACTTTTTTAAAAAAAATGTGTAAAGCTAAATGTATTCTGTTAACATAATGACGTGTGCAATAATGATGACATCAAATTATGTACTGGCCCTGGCATAATAGTTATAACACCAAAACAATAATGGCAAAAAATTAAGTTGTTACCTCTACATTTCAGACCGATTTAATAGCAATGTGGGTGCCAGCAATGCCCCAGTGACATTTGAAAACCCTAAAAGTGCTAGTGGAATTATAAAGTAATAGTGGAATTTAAAAGTTAAATTATAGAGACTAGTTGACTTGCTGTTATGGATACCAGAGCATTCCTGGCCATCTGTTAGTGACTTGAAGCGAACTTGGGTTTTATAGCAAGACAATGATTTAAAGCACACCAGCATGTGCAGTTCTGAATGGCTAAAAAAAAAAAAAAAAAAAAAAAAAAAAATGGCCTAGTCAAAGTCCTGATCTGAATCTAATTGAGATGTTGTGACATGACCTTAAAAAGGCATTTCTTGCTCAAAAACCCTCCAATGTGGCTAAAAGTTTGCAAATATATGTGGGCTCAAATTCCTCTAAAGTATTGAGTGTGTTTACATGGACACCAATAATGCAATTTAAATAAAATTAAAACAGTACTCTGATGTAGAGTCTATCAAGCAAACAGTGATTTTTGAATACTTTAGTTCGATTAAAGTCATAATTGAACTAAACAGAGATGAAATTAAGACGTGGAGTATTCAGATTTTAGTCACAATATTTAAGTACAATACAGACATGTAACACAGTTTTTTTTTTTAAATGGAGAATCAGTTACTTTATTTGTTAATCTCCATAACTAATACATTTAGAAACTACATAATAAAATGAATCACTTTAGTAACCTAAAATACTTTTTAGATATAACTGTAATTTGATTACCACCTTTTAAAAACGTAATTTTACCACAATGCAGTTACCTACATTTAAAATTGTATATGCATTATTACCTGAAATGGAAGTTTAAAAAGCACAAAGGTTCAAAAGATGTTATACGGATAGCAGATTTACTTTGCCTTGACATTAGGTAGCTGCCAGTGTTTTCTGAAGTAGCCTCATTAAAACTGTCTGTTTGAGCTGTCAGCATGTCAGCAGTCAACAGACTTCTCAGGACACTAGGACTGATGACACACTGTGCTACACACTGTGTTACACGCTATGCTTTCCTCAGGCGGTCATTTGAATGTTCCCCAATGGTGCTTGGCCCACCCCCCATGGGCCCATTATAAACAGTTACACTTTCATGCATGCCATCTTATTACATAATTTGAGTCTGTAAGGATTAGAATTTATTTATTTAGCAAATCTCATGCCATTATGTTTTTGATGATTTTAACAAGGGATAGTATGGAAAACACAAAAAATAACAAACATTATTTAATGTGTTTCTCATGATTTTTATTGTTTGTTTAGTTGGTTGTTGTTTTTGTTTTGTTTTTTAAACACATATTCCAATTTTAGTTCTTGCATTTACCATTTTGTAATGGCGTTTATTTTCACAACACTTACAAGACATTTAGGAACTGAAGACCAAGTGAAGAAGTCTACCAGGTGTAATTTTAACCCATTCTTCCTGCAAACAAGTCTTAAGTTGGGTAACAGTATAAGGGTATTCATTGTAGCATTCTGAGCTTCAAAATGCACTACTCATTCTCTGTTGGAGACAGGTCAGTCAAGTACCTGTATCCTCTTCCTCCACAGCCAGTACTTTATAATGTGTGCAGAATGTGGTTTTGCATTGTCTTGTTGAAATATGCATGGGTGTCCCTGAAAGAAAAGTCAGCATAGTATGCTCCAAAATTTCTATGTACTTTTCAGCATTAATGATGCGGTCACAGAAGTGCAAGTTACCTTTGCCAAGGGTACTGACAACCCCATACCATCACAGACCCTGTCTTTTGGAATTGGTGACAAGTCTCGATGATCCTTTTCTTCTTTGGACTGCATCTATTTCTCCAAAAAAAACACCTGAAAGACTGATTCATCTGACCACATTACATGTTTCCACTGTTTAGTGGTCCTAGATGCCTCTGAGCCCAGAGAAGTTAGGGCGCTTCTGGACACTGTTAACATAGGGCTTCCTTTTAAAGCAGTCGAGTTTCAACTGATATTTGTGGATGTGACTACATATTGTGGTACTTAACAAAGGTTTGCCAAAGTAGTCCTGAGTCTATGTGTAACGGCCGGGGAGGGAGTGACAGAGACAACTGGAGGTAAGATCCACAATGCAGGTTTATTCAGCATCAGGCCAGCAATGATCAAACTGGTGCAAATGTGTATTTTCAGGCAATCCAGAATCGTAATCAGTGAACAGGCTGTAGGTCGTAAGGCAGGCGGCTAAACAGGAGAACAAAGGTAAACAAGGCTAGGGTCTAACACAGAGAAACAAGACAGGGAGAAACGCGTTGTAGTGTCACTAGTAGTAAACAAGACTCGGCAACCAGGATGGGTGAATTAATGGTTTATGTAGGGTGTGTATCAGTCTCTGGCAAGGTTCAGCTGGTGAGAATGTAATCAGTCTTGATGAGTGAGCAGGCGTGAGTGTAACAGGAGAGCAAGTATGAAGATGTAGTCCAGGGGAAGGCGGAAGTGTAGTTCTTGGTGTTCGTGTGAGAACCAGCGATCTCTGGAGAGCAATCGCTGGTTATGTGACACTATGTGGTGATATTGTTTATAGATTAATCATGATTCTTGATCCAGAGCCTCTAAGGGATTTGAGATCATGGTTGTTCAGCTTAGGGTTGCGCCCTTGTGCTTTACGCACGGAAATTTCTCCAAATTCCTTGAATCTTTTAATGATGCTATGTACTGTTGAAGGTGAAATATCCAAATATCTTCCCATCTTTCTTTCAGGAACATTGTTTTTGAACATGTTGACATCACCTGTTTCAAATCATCTAATAATTTAACCAGTTTACCTGATTACTAGCTCTAAATTGCTCCTGTACTAACCTTTTTACTTATTTCACACCAGTAAAGTTATCTTAAAGGTACAGTAGATGATCTGCCAAAAAGCTAACCGCTTAGCATATTATCTTTGGACAGCGGGGAGGGACTGTGATTCAAAGCCACACCCCCTGAAATCGCGAGCGCGCGCACCGCGTCACAACAGCCGACAGACAACCCACTAGTTCATGTCATTCGCCAATTAGTTAGTGCCAGCGCCGTGCAGGAATTACATTTATTACTTAGCCACACTTACATGCTATTTCAGAGGAATATTTAGAGTAGCATGGTAAACAGTATAGGAAGGCTATCATTGTTCAAAAATGACCCAATGTGAATATAAAAGCAACGTCAGCTCAATAAAGCAGGTTAGGCAGAATAGCGCTATTTACTGGTGTTTTGTTGTTAAACTAAATATAAATTTACATTATAGATGTTGTCAAAGAACCTTATGAAACTGAAAATAATCACATAAATTTTTCGCCAGGAGATTTCAGTGGCTGAACAACACGTCTGTGCATATAAGTCAACACAACACAATCTAACATAAAATAGTTTCAAAACAGAACATTACCTGTCTAACAGTAATACTTCAGCCATGGTGTCATCCTTCCTCCAGCATGCTAAAGTAACTCCAATATTGATTCAGGTATTTAAAAGTTTTAATTCAGCATTTAATTTCTCCCGGTCCGTCTCGTGACCGCGCGGCCACTTTAAGAGCGAATTATACCCACGCGCGCATGCGTTTGTGATGCAGACAGGCACGCGCTAATGGAGGATCTGCGTGAACACATGCGCAGAAGTCGGAATCTACATTTGCTGACAAACAGTCTGACCAGCTTGTCGGAATTAAGGGAGATGACGGTCCGACTCTATTTAATTGCATGAACATTTTTTTTGTTTTATGCTTTACCCAGAATATAGAAATACATATAAACACATTTAGATAATTTACTGTAATCTTTACTATTGGACTGTGAAGAGACTTTCAACCAGCACAACAAAAAAATGTTTCTGAAGACAATCACCTACTGAACCTTTAAATATCCTATTTGTTCGTTTGTTCATTCGTTCGTTTGTTCTCTCTTAACAGTTTTGGAGAATAAATGCTTTTTTGTAATTTTTATTATTTTATTTTATTTATTTATTTCAGAAATATGAAACTTTTTAGCAATTTTAACTAAATGCTAATCTTAAATTCTCACTTGTAGGGTTCCATTGGCCCTCCTGGTATTGATGGATTAAAGGTAAGATAACCCCTGTTTTCTGTTGATGTTTCTGATAAAAATTATATTTAAATCTCCATTTCAATATTGTGAATTCTTTTATTTTTATCTATTTTTGCATTTTGCCTCCAGACTTAGTTGGCAGTAAATCTTGTAAAAATGAAAAAAAAATAGTTCATGTCCATTTATTCACCCAAAAGACTGGAATAAATACACAGAAGTAAATCCAAGTAATTTATTTGCACTGTTTTGTTATTTAATCAAGGATTCTGATTAAGCAGCCAAAACATCTTTTAAATGCACCCTAGAGCATTTGACTAAAATGAGCTTTTAAACTTGAAGTTGTGTTACAAAGTTGTGTTTATATATATAAATATATATGAGCAATACCACACTCATAGCAGTGCAATGTGGCTGTATAGTGGCACTGGTGGTAGGCGTGCAATGGCACGAGGTCACAGGCTGAGTGCATTACTGTCCTACTAGTGACGATAGACGTTTGTTTTGGAATCTGTCTCGTTTCCCCCGTTAGCGTGGTTTCCAGCAATTGCGCTCTGATCCGTGCCAAATCAATCGGTCCGAGATAAGGCTATATGAAGAGAGGGCAGGATGTCTAATACAAAAGTGAAACCATGCTAAAATATTACAGAGAGCTGTTTATCCGTTAAGAAAAGTTACCATCTGATAATTTTCCCATATTTTAATCTTATAATATGTTGCATTAGGCCTGTTGTTCATTTCTGCACTGACAGCTTGAAAGAAAGATCCACATTGATCTGCTTCATAATCTGATACGGTTCATCTGTTATTTCTCTATAATTTAAGCCTATAATGCATAATTCTAGCCAACGTTTATTTAACAGATTGATTAATTCAATCGATATTTACAAAACTTGAAAACTGAAATGAGGCTCTGTATGAGAAAGTCTGACCTCTCTGATTTGTATTTGGTATGTCTGTGGGTGTCAAAATTAAAGTGCACATTTTCACTTATAAAACATTCTATACACAACTGCTCAAAAGTTTGGGGTCAGTATAATTTTTAAATATTTTAAAATAAGCTTCTCCTACTCACCAAGGCTGAATTTATTTAATCATTAATACAATACAAATTATAAAATTGTGAAATGTTATTGCACTATTAAATAACTATTTAAAAGTAGTTTATCATTTAATTTAATCATTTATTTCAGTGATTTTAAAGAAGAATTTTCATCTTAATTACTCCTTTATTTAGTCACATGATTCTTCAGAAATCACTATTCATTAATTAATATTGTTGTTGCTATTATTATTATTATTATTATTATTATTATTATTATTAATGGTAATATTAATAAAAACCAATAATGGCTGGAGTAATAATTTTATTTAAAACTAATCAGTTTTCTGGGTACATTCAGCATCCACCAAGAAGCTTTAGCGATGAAAAGCCAGATGAACTTCATAAAAGCTCATCCATTAAATTCACATATTTTATTATTTTTATTTTAGTCGCGTTTACAGAAAATATGTGTATTTAGTTATTGTAGTTAAAAATGTAGTTTAATCGGAGAAGGGGTGCTTGACAGTTGTCAAATATTAGAAAGGGGTGCACACAGCAAAAAGTTTGGGAACCACTGGTCTAAAGTGATAAAACGGGTGATTTTGCTCACATTTAAGATTATAAGGCTCAACAGCATGAAATGCCATCCATCTACAGAGATTTCCCAGTATTTCTCTGTTGCTATCAGGAGATCACAATATTAATATGCTATAAATACAGCACTACAACATAAAAAAGAGAAAGATTGACTTAGAAAGTCATTTACCTGTTTAATAATGATTTGATCACCTGTAGTTTGAAATTACATTGTTTTTCTCTTAGGGCTTATTGTGCGGTCTTTGTCACCATCTTGTGGATTACCAACCGTCTTTGCTCAAAGACAGGCTAATGTCTGCCAACGCGCTGTCTCACAGATATTATGAATATTTAAAATAGGCACTGCCCCTATAAATAAACTGCATAGTTGCAATCTAAACAACTACATTCTTCACTAAAAAGACCCAAAAGTACATTTTTGTTCAACAGCTGCAATATTTGTCAAACTGTAGAATGTCATCTGATTGTCACTGTATCTGGGCGGTGTAATACACATGTTTGAAGGGTTAAGAGGCTGGACAAGTGCTGTTACTCCAGGTGCTCCGTTGTCCCCCACAGTCCAAACATGTGGTGCAGGTTAATTAGGTAGGCTAAATTGTCCGTAGTGTATGAGTGTGTGTGAATGTGTGTGTGGATGTTTCCCAGAGATAGGTTGCAGCTGGAAGGGCATCCGCTGCATAAAAACTTGCTGGATAAGTTGGCGGTTCATTCCGCTGTGGCAACCCCGGATTAATAAAGGGACTAAGCCGACAGGAAAATGAATGAATGAATGAATATTCAATATTATGATGATAATGATGATATGATGATATTAAATGAAAATATTAAACTGTAATTATCTATGTATACTATCAAATGAAAATGTTAAGGCACTTAAGATACAGTGTTTTCCCAAGTATCTTGATCAAAAATGCATGTCAAGTCTTTCTCCCATTTAAGTTTTAAAGATGACACTTCCGTCCCTTACAAGTTGTTAAGGTTGCTATACTGTACATACAAGACACAAATCCTTTGGGTTTTTTTTTTTTTTTTTTCTTATAATAGCATCTATTGGGAAGGAAGAGAGGAGTCCTAAATTGCCTTTTTGCATTGAGGTAATATAGTGTCTCACCTTAATATATTTAAAAATGTTTAACAGGAAGGGAAAACTGTCATTGTATTTGTTCAAATGTCAGTAGTACGCCCTGCTCATACAAATCTTCCAACTTCTGTATCCACTTTTTATACCAGTATTGTGTTATTTAATCTCTCAATAGTTCAGGAAGAGATAGGTTACAATGAAATGGAGTATTATTATGCAATGAAAGTAGCCAATTATTATTTTTTTGATTACAAACCGCAATTTGCAAGTGTACCTAATTAACCAGTAACTAACTGCCTTCATAACACAATTCAAAGGGATGAAATATATATGTGATATATATATATATATATATATATATATATATATATATATATATATATATATATATATATATATATATATATATATATATATATATATATATATATTTGAATAATATTCATTTTTATGCAGTTTATCCTACCAATTAGTGATAATGGAAGTAAGTTCCATCTTTCCAGTCCAGATCTCTGGTTACCTTTTTAAGTAATGGGGAATTATTCAAAGAATATACTTCTTCCAATTTAGAAGGCCAAAATAGACTTTTTTTTTCAGTATTCCATAAAAAAGGAATGTTATTTAAGGGTATTTTCTCTGCAGCCGAATTCAAGGGCATCATATCACTTTTATTGAGATTAATTTTATAGCCAGATATGTCCCTAAAGTTTTCCAACATTAAAGACAAATTAGATAAATATAATTCAGGATTAGTTAGAAATAGCACCGCATCGTCTGCGTATGATGATGTCTTGTGTATACAACCTGTTATATCCAATCCAGAGATTGATTTATGTGACCGCATTGATATAGCCATGGTTTCTACTGCTAGTGCAAAAAGTAGCGGGGAGAGAGGACATCCCTGTCTGGTTCTCCTTGATAAATAAAAATGTTCAGATTAATCAGAATTAGTATGGATGGCTGCCAATGGATTCTTATACAACAATCTAATCATTTCAAAGTTTGGACCAAAATTCATTTTTTGCAAATGATAAGGCCACTCGGTCGAGGGATTTCTGCATCTAAAGAAAGAGTAATCACTGGAAAATCTATTTGTTTTGCTGAATAAATAATATCCATTAACCTTCGTATATTATCAAAAGAGGATCTATTTCTAATAAATCCAGTTTGATCCATGTGAATAAAAATAGGCAATACCCACTCTAAACCTAATGTAATCATTTTGGTGAGAATTTTATAATCAGAATTAAATAGTGAGATTGGCAGATTGGAAGTACATAGATTAGGATCTTTACCTGGTTTCTAAAGAACTGTGATTAAAGCCTGGTTTAAAGTCTTTGTTAATTGTTTTTTTATGAATTGCCTCTGTATACATTGAAAACAACGGGTCTGCTAATTTAGAAATAAAACTTTTATAATAATTCATTGAAAACCCGTCCAACCCAGGTGTTTTACTCCCGGCTAGAGCAGCAACTGCAAATTGAATCTCTTTTTTTGAAGTTTGTTTTTCAAGTTCTTCTCAGTCATTACCACTTAAGACTGGAATATACCATTTACTTATAAAAAATTTAAATTTGAATCTTCCTCTATTCCCTGAGATTTATAAAGTGACTTATAAAAATCTAAGAATTCTTGGTTAATTAATTTAAAATTTAAGTGTGAAACTTTAAACCCTCATGACTGAGTATGCACTGCATCATACAGTTGACCTTGACTTCTCTTCAAACTAAAAGCTTCCTAACAAGTTATGTATATCCCCACAAATACTTGAATTATGTACTTTAAAGCAAACATATTAATCACAACGAACAAGTAATAGATTCGAAATACACAAGTTAGTAAACATGTGAACAAAAATATGAACACATATTTCTCTTGTCAGATTTTCAATATAAAGATCACTCTTGACAGAATTAGGTTCTTACATGTTCATCCAAGAGAAAAGTTATCCACAGTATATTTTTAGCATAGTTTGGTATGGTTGCTCAGGTAACGTTGGATAATCCGGAATTCGTCACAAAAAAACAGAAAACAGATCACAATCAGATCTGGATGATGTTGTCGAAGTTAAGTTTCTGCTGATGCTTTGGAGTTAAAAGATCTTTGTCTCTCCGGTAGCTGAATCCTCAGTGTTGTAGGATAAAGTACTGCGTTAGACACATCGTTATTGCGTAGCTGCCTTTTGAGTGCACTGGATTCTTATTGCTTTCTAAACAGGGTGGAACACATATCCCGAAAAATCATAACGCCATAGTTGCCATAGGTAAGCTTACCCTTTTCTTTGGCCGCATTGAGGAT